CTACATCCTCATATTTTGCGAGTTTATGTACCTTGATAGGTGAAACCAGGCCTTATCACTAAAAAATGTTGCAGCGAGACGATCATTGTTCATTGTTTGATTAAACCATTTTGTTTTCATAATCAAGTAGTTTAAGTTTTTGAAACACCTGCATTTTGTAGGAAACAAGATCAGGTCCATTTTAATAATTTTCTACAATAAAATATACCCAGCTTTTTGGAATTGATTTTGAATATTTTTTTTTAGGAGAACCATTATAAGTTAAATTAAAGAAATGTATGTAGTGTTAAAGTAAATATAAAGACGCGTGCTACGCGTATGTTTAAAATGAACCAAAATTTTCTGATGACGTCATCAACATTTTTGCAAAGATGTGTTTCAATTTGGATAGAGGCAATGTAATATTAATAATAATCTAATAAAATGGAGTGGGTCGTTTCTCATATAATCAATAACATAAATTGACTCATTCATTCTTTTTTTTTAATCACCCTGTAAGCAGTTCTAAAAAGTATATAGTGATAAATCACAAGTATAAACTAATCATATTTTGCACATTTTCGATAGAATTGATTCGGTACTCTACCCCCATGTCAGAGGTTCGTCAGTGGTTATTTTAATCCTGTTGTGTTATTCTCGCTGGTTATATGTAGCTGATTACTATTTGGCTTAACTATTCTCAATTTTCTTACATTTTATAGTCACGTAAAGTAGAAGCCCCCAAATAATGAACATTGACTTTCTCTTTGCTTATTGAAAGCCCCTAATAAGTGGACATGGGTCAGTTGTGCGCAGCGGTCAGAAAGATTTGCATATCATTTGAAGGGTTAATACCATAAACAATTGTTGCCTGTCGTAGTCAGACTTGCGGATAATTGGTCGAATTGCCGGTAATTTTCTTACTAGCGAATCCTGTACGGATTCTTTTAAGGTTGGTTTACATTATGGGATTTTTCTTAGGAAATTTGGTAAGCAAATTCCTTATGACGCCCGATAATTTCGGACCTTTTGTTAATAAGACACGTGATAAAAGATTTTGTCTCAATTTTACTTCGATTAAAATTCATCGTGAATTAACTTATGTAATGCCGGCAACTGGTTATATTCTCACATTGGCAAATATTTTTATTGCTCTTAAATTTTCTACCAATAGGTCTATCTTGTAAAAAATAAAACAGTTTGTTGAGAAACTATTTTATTTTTTAAAAAATCTATAAGAAACACTTTACAAAAGTGGATCTGCTACTAGACTTCTTATCAGCTAAGTACCTATAGGTAGTGACAATCTTTACAGTCTCCTATTTGTGCAGTCGTAGGACCTTTTTGGGGGTTAGACCTACCACATTTGGTAAACTAACCGTGGCGCGCAAGTGACCAAAGGGAGTACAATAATGATGATTTACAATGCGTACATGTTTCTTGGCTTGTTTGTCTGAACTGAAAACGTGTTCATGTAAACGTCCGATTCATAGACTTTTAACCCTTTCATAAAAGCAATCGGCTGTAAATTAAAATCTCCATAATCCTAAGAGGTTTATAATAAATAGAAAGTCAATGTTCACTATTTGCCAGACTCTAATTTAAATGTAGCGACTAAAGGATCAATATTTTGGCAGTTTTAAGTGTAGGGTACTATTGTTGAAAATCAATTTTGTAACTAAGTTTTGTCTGTGACTTATGGTATTATTAAATTTATCCTGTCTAAAAATATTCAAAAATAAATAATTTAGATTTGTAAATTTGTGTTCAGAGATGCCCGGCAGTGGGAAAGGATCGAATCAATGTTGTATTTTAAGTGGAATAAAGTTTGGAGATTACAGCAGTCAGATTGAATTTAATTTCACAAAAGAAGTAGGCAAAAATGTTGGAAAAGCTGACAGATTTAATTATGTGAACAAAATTAGCAAGTTTTAGCGGTTTATTGTGGTTTTGTATTCAAACGCCTACAGTTTATGTAATAAATTTTCCTGATGGATAATCGAAGGTAAAAGGAATCCCGTAGTAGTAATTCGTATGAATACCCAACAATTTGACCCTTCTAAAAAGGTTTGAAATATTCAGTGAAACAAAATTGTTCTGATTCTTCATTCTAAAAGCGTATTGTTCTGTGAACGAGAATTTTTTTTTCTAATTTAAAAAACGATGTCACGAGTTTCGAGTCTTTTAATGTCATGTAAACAGAGTTTGATTACATTTTTTTTACGAATGATGTATCGAGTGATTAGAAATTATTGTAGTCGAGTCGTCCTCGTAAATTCATCTGCATGTCTGTGATAGACTCGTACTAACATATCAGATAAAGTGACAAACGTAAACACAAACGTGACTGATATGAGTCTAGAGTTTCAGAATCCGTCCATATCCTGTGACTTTTAGAAGCGAAAATCGGTCGTAAATGCTACTCTGGATATCGATCGATTCCAAATTGGTGTCAAGTTGGAAAAGTCGATTCTGAAGGGTCTCTTGTTGTGAATGTTTTACATGATTTAGAACAACAGAATAAACGCGAAGTTTGAGAAATTTTATTTAAGTGAAATGTCACAATAAATGAAAATAATGAGACGTAATGTCAAATAAATGTTAGAAATGTCCATTTTGTTCCAAGCATATTTGACTTCGTTTTTCGTCTGGCTTTACTTTTATGCAGATAATTGAATTAAAAAAGTAGTTTTGTGGTTTATTTAAACACGACGAGACAGAGCAGCAAGAAGTGGAAAGTTGCGTTTTCGTATATTTCGATCTGTAAAACTACGAAAAAGTGAAATTCGCGGTATTTCTTCTAGCTACTGGGAGGTAAAAATATTATTTTAAAGGATATTGAGGATGTTGCACCCAAGACGTGCAGAGCTCCCACTAACTCCACCCACTTTAACAAAAGACATACGATCATCGCCCAATTATAAGCGAGTCAGTTGTCACGTCTTAGAAGATTTGTCAGGTGTACGTATAATGTACTCGTTGCAGCTAACTGTTAACAAAAATCGTGCCTATTGAATGAGTTTTTCGATTTCTAATTTCAAAAAACTTAATGTGTTTGGAAGTACGGGAACACGTAACTGACTGTGACTTAAGTACATATCAAGGGAAAAAGCAAATTCCACTATTTAACGTCCAAGAAACACTTGTTTGCGTTCTTTTTAGTAATATTTTTATGTTTAATTCTAAATTCGTTTCGTGATCAGAGTTCAAACCAAATGGATGCCTGCTGCGCTGCCTTCCAGTTGATTGAGGACTCGCAGTTTTAATTTTAACTGAAACTTTAAAAAGGTTAACAATTTTGCCAATAATGGAAATTAAAATTAATATAAAAATTGAGTTATTTGGAGCGTGCTCGTCGAGAGAGTATTAAAGATTTCGCCCAAGCTGAAAAGTTTAAAAAAACATAACCGTCAGTTTTCTGGAACATCTGCTTCTAGTCGTAGCATATTTCTTGGTGGATTTTATGAATGCCAGTTCAGTTGTGGTGGAATAACAATAAAAGCTAATCAGATAACCGAGTTCCATTAAAAAGAGATTACACTACTCATGACCCATGAGTCAGCACCACTTTTCTTATAAGACTGAAAGCATACCTAGTGCAGATAAAGAACAACATTTATGGAGTGGTTGTAGTAAAAATTTTAAAATTTCGATGATGAAAAGTTTTAAATACGAAAAAGAGCTGTATGAAGGGAAAAGAAGAGTGAAAATTTCGGGCTATGGAAGACGGAACAGCCGTGTAATGACCTAGGCGCCATTTTGGGACCGCTACTTTTTATGATTTTTGAAAACGACGTATTGTTTGACTGCCGTTAATCAGATTTTGTTTGTAGATGTTGAATACAATTCGTGAAAATGTTAGCCTACAAATGTTGAATTAAGCAGCTATTATTAGCAAGACAGTGGTATGCGAACAATGGACTTGTAATGAATAATTTTCTTTAAGAAAATATTGTTGAAGAACGTGGTCAAAATTGACTTCACTTTTAAGTTAATCTCATAATATGATAAATTCTGATTTTGGGAATGTTTATTTTTGAACAATATATTTTCGAAATTTGGTTAACTGATTTGCATTCATATAGTAATGTTTGTAATTTTTAAATTTAAAATAATAATGTTGTTGACCTTCCGTAATAACTAATGTACATACAATCGATTATCATGCTTTGAATTAATTAAACATGATGTTATCTTATTTTCTTTTGGAGAAACTTTGACGTATTGTAGAATATTTTTACTTAAAAAAAGTGCTGTCTGTTTACTATAAAAATCACGATCTTGTTATATATTCTTGAACCACTTATTCGCTTAAAGAAAGTAATGTCTTATAAAAAATCAGCTGTTATATTAATAAAATCAAAATCAAGGTAATAATTACCACGCTTTAGTTAATTTCTACATTTACGTTTCTTGCCTACGGATTAATTTAGGTCAAGCTGTTAACATAAGGTTTGCAAGTGTTTACAGGAAATGCTGTTAAAGGTTAATGAAGTGTGAAGGTTTTTCTCTTTGTCGTAAAGAAAAATTTTGTCAAGCACATGTATATTATTTTTGAATAGTTAAAGGACATGCCATTTTTTGTTACATTTTATGGCTAAGAGGGATAATCCGGTTTCGTAAAATGCGGAAAGTTTTACTCGGCTATTTTACAACTCCAAATTAGTCTGGAAAATTTGAGGAAACTTTAAGTGAGACCGAACAATTGCAAAAATTGCGTTGCCTGGTTAAATCACCAAAATGTCGGTAATTATTCTCCGACCCTTCGTAAAACAGTTAAAGTCATTGTTCAATCATGAGCTGTTGAATCAGACAAAAAAAGTATTACTGTCTCTGTCACACAGGTGACGGTCAGTCTGATGAACTTGTACGAGTACAATTTTGTACCAGAACTAGATGCAAATATAACTATTCAAATCGGTTTAATTCTTCCAATGCAAGATACAATATTTACTTTTTTTGTCAAAAACTATTTTACATAGAATAATTTTATAATTTAATTGTATGCATTATGCTTCTAGGTCCGAGAAGATGTTCTTCGGGCTCTCCACAACTGCTTCCTTATGACACTAAACCAAGCCTGGAACGACCATCAGACGTCAATGGTGATGATTCGAGACATCCTCATGTACATGGATCGTGTTTACGTTCAACAAAATGACGTTGACAACGTGTATAATTTGGGATTAATTATTTTTAGAGATCAGGTAAGCCCACACATCAGAGCTATTGTTTTACATAACTCGACATTTTTAATCCTCAATATGTGTGTTTGTGATTTCTTTGCGTTGGTCTTCGACGTTTGATTTATAATAAAAAACTGTCGACTAGGCCATGATTATTAAACGAATTGACAATTCTGATTTTAAATTCGAACTTTAATTAGTGGTACCTGTGAAACGTTTCTGTGTGCAGATTTTAACTTCAAAACGTTATAACCAGAATGCTAGTTCTAAATTTCTAAATCTATGCCGAAATCGTCTTTGTCAACCACTATGAATAAAATCTTTTGATATTTCTATCAGGGTTTATAGAATTTTATATTTATGCAATTTTACGATGAAACAGATACGACGCAGTGGACAAACTTTTTTTTTTACTTATTAACCTCTTAATGTAATAGTGTAAAATCTTGAACACAGTCTATATTACAATGATGCTATGAATTTTAACATTAAGAAAGCAAAATAAAATCGTTCTATCGAAAAATATCTTAAATGACGTCATACTGCCTTTATATTAATGAGTGATCTAATTAGTGGGAAATTAATAATGTAATACGTGTTTTGCCTCGCTTTTTGCCTTTAATCGGTCTTATGCATAAACATTTTATATTATTATTTTGTTGAATTTATCACAATTATCCTTAAATTTTTAAAGGTAAGCACACTTATAAATGAATATTATTTTTTAACAAACGAACAGTTTTAAAACTATATTTATACATGTTGTTTTAAATATCTAGCAAGTTTGTCATTCTATTTTTCTCCAACACATGCAAAAAAGTGAGAAAACTAGACTTATGAGTGCTGTTGCTGGTAAAGAAATATAGATCGACAAATTTCAAAGGAAACTTATACTTGTAGATTAGACTAGCTCTAGCTTCTCAACCATGCAGTTTGTTTGTTCATTAAATCAGGAATTATCAAAAATAATTCAAACTTTTATTACTTCCTGAGCGTAAGCTTCCATGGACCAATTTATTTTATATTTTAAAGCCAAGTCTTCAGTTCTTTAGCGAGGATAAATATATTGATTTTAAAGTATACAATATAACATTAATTATAAAGGAACTGGAATAATAATTCATCAAGTGTGTTTTTTCAAACTCTTTTTGTAAGCATTTCTAAAACTTCAAGCATCTTAGTAAAACGCGAGAATTCAGCGTAAAGCTTTTTTAGGATAACATCATCAACTTCCCAAAGGATTTGAATAATTATTTTTTTTTAATATCCTGTATTCCTTAAACAAAAGCTGAAGTCTTTTTGTAATCATTTTTTATGTGATGCAAAAATTGATGGTTCAGACCTTAATTGTTTTAGGACAGTCCATATTCGTCAACTTAAAATAGTGACGGACTGTTAAAGTATAATGTAATCGGTTGGGTTGTTTCGAATATTATCCATTTATAAAATCTCTAATAGAGAAAACTTGGATTTTCGTGTCGTGTGAGTTAGGAAAGTGGAGAAAACATGAAGTTAGACGTGGATCAAAATGACCCTGTTACAGTAATTCTTATAACTGTCGATAGGCGAGTCAAAAATAATAAATTAATTTTTTATCGAATTTGTTTTGGATCTCGAAAATCGTAAAAATTACAAAACTTTTTTCTATGCTTTAAAAATTCGTGCAATATAACTTGTGTACAACAGACGCAGAATTTTCATCTCGAGGAAAATGTTTTCCGTAGATCATAAGGAATTCATTCTTGAGTCTTATTTTTGTAACGGCCAGCAAGTAAATGGTGAATGGGTGTACGAAGCCCGACCCTGTTTTCAGGCATTCCCTGAAAAATTCACTGGTCTTGCTGTTCTTGAAGCTAATTTTTTAAGAACACTCAGTTTGTGTATAAAATTATTTGGTGAGATTGCTAGAAAATCAGGAAGTCGCATATTAAGAAAACGAACTCCCGGGGCTGTTGAAAATGTCCAATAGGTTGTGGATAATAATCCCCATACATCGTTAAGAAGGCTCTCGTTGACTTGTCATATTTAGCTTGCCAGAAAATCGTTAAAAATATGTAAATTTCCAAAATATGACATGTGGAGTGCAGAAAATTGACATTAATTTTCTTCAAGGAATCAGTTACAGCTGCGAAATATCAAAACATGCTGTAGGAATTTATTTACCAGCTTGATTTTGAAGAATTACAGAATGGATATTTTCAACATGACGGTGCAACAGCTCATGCAGCTCATAGAAGTTTGTACTTTCTAAGGAATTTTATGACGACCGTTTAATTAGCACCCACATAGACCATATCTACCCACTTCGATCACCGGATCTGAAACCTTTAGATTATTTTTGTTCTCGACTGCGAAAAAACTGTTTTTAAACAATGAGTGGACACAACTGAAAACCTAAAAGTGAGAATTATATAACGTTGTCATTCATCACAATAATATACATTTTTAACAACAAAGTTCATTAAAATTTTAGAGTTTTTTAAAATTAAAAACTGTCAAGTTACGACTTCCAAAAAAATTAAAAAAATCACCCGGTATTACACTGTGTCTATCCAAATTAGTATATTTATCCCTACTAAAAATTTAGTCACGCCTATTTAAACAACTCTAGACCAATTTTTATTTTCGGTAACATATTACCTCTACAGTGACCTTTTATAGGTAGTATTGAGGAATACAAGCTACAGCGTGATCAAAAAATGATGGATAACCTCGATGGTATGTTGTTAAGAAGGCTTTGAAGAACTCGAAAAAATGGTTAAACAGTCCCGACCAAATTTTTGAAAATATTAAACTTCGAAGTAGAAGAATTAACGTCGTAATTCTTATATTTTTATTGTGAATTTAATTGACAGTGTAAAATTCCCATAAAAATTGTCAACAAAAAAACTTAGAAATTCAATATTTTCAAAAGTTTGGTGTATACGTACAAAATTGTGTATTTTCGATTTCGATTTTTTAGTTTTTTTTTATTTTATCAGTATTAGTCACCTATAGGTACGTTCTTGGAAAAAAGGATTACAACTTCCATTATAAGTCTTACCAGGATTTGAATGTGTTAAGCCGCTATATTGAAATTTTCATATAAATACTTAATTTAATTCGTGAACCTTATCTAAAAAGTACAAGTTTTGAAGTGTTTACACGGGACATCTCAGAAAAAAAAATGAATTTATTGTGAATTTTATAGATTTCTTAGAAACTACTTATCTGATTCCTCTGTCATTCTGGGAATAAATGTATAAATAAAACGGTGACGTTGTTACGTGTACAACATATCAATATTGATCTGATAAATAAATTAATTGTTAATACTACTTCAAAAAATATTAAAGAATCGTTATTGTAAAATATGTTTTCACTAACTTGTGACATTGCTTGGGTTTCCATAATATCTTTAAATTTTTACTTCCCGAGCGGTAAGCTAAGGAAGTGTTATAAGTAGGGTGCATTCGATGAATTGCAACTTCCATGTTTTCTCAACGTTTCATGACCTCTTGAGTACGAAAAAGCAGGTATCTTGTTTCCGTCTGTCTGTCGTCTCTGTGTGTCCATTTTTAATATAATATCCGAAACTACTGGATTTTTGACGTATGTTGGGAATGTCGTGTAGATGGTAAAGCGCCATTTAAATTGTATACAACAATATACCATTATACTTGTGGATTATGAATCTGCCTTGAATTTTTACCCCAGGCATCCAAATTTTTGTTAATTATATCATTACACTGTATACTTTTTACCTGCCTTTACTTAATTGTTTGAACGGTCAGCCGATTTCCCCGCAGTCCGCGCCCAACCACGTATAAATAAGTTAACTAAATGTGTCTTCGTAACATGATGCGTTCGAATCGAAAGCAGTGGCGGAGTATGAGTGATTAAAGTATGATACATTAATCAGTTCAGAAAAACAGTAGTCAATTCAGAAAAACAGGCTACAAGAATCTCTAAAAAAAAATACAAATAATCATACTTTTACTTCTCAAACGTAAGATACTTTTTTTAATGCACAGAAGTTATGTTACAAATTAATAAAATTTCGCAAAAAATAAATGAACTTATGATTTTATTTAATTTATTGATTCGATTAACGACGGATCATTTGGTTTTCCTTAACCTCTTAATTGATGTTTTTGTCTTGAAATGCGTACGATCGATTTTGTTATGATTCAGAAGCGAGAGAAATTATATGTAACTAACTTACCCATTTTTGTATTAGGGTTTGTTAATGAAGTCGGCATTTTTAATAATACTGTGACTTCGAATATTGCAAAAAAAGGAGTATTTGAAGCACTTACTTCAAGTCAGAAAATGAAAATTAAAGTAGTTTTCTGAGAAGTAATGAAAGAGTAATGATGCCATTGACACAATAGGATAACACTTATTGATAAAAAATCAATATAATAAAACTTTGCCTCATCGTCTTTATTATGAAATGGTTGTAAAAAGATATAGTGAAACAATTTCGGATTATTTCGTATGTTGCTATTTTACTACTAATCATTGCTTCTTTTGTAACAATAAATCATATATATTAAAAAGCCGAATCTGCTATAAGTAACTGAATGTAATGGAAATAGTCTGTAGGCTGAATGCATTGTTACGTTGAAGGGGATTTATATGGGTTCTCGATGAAGGTCGAATTCCAAACTATACAGTTTTTATTATAATAATCACATTATTATGGCAATTTCGTGATTAATTAATATTACAACTCCTAAGCGGTTGATTAGTTCTGAGTACTTAAGGTGACTCTCACTTTACGAATCTCTTTTACCGATGCGCCTTTCGGCTGACTCCCTTTCTATTTTATTAAAACAGCCGTTCACATTGCCTACGTCTTTCTGTACTTTCTGGCCCGTTCGCCGTTTATTCCGAATTTTTTATGCACGTACCGTATGAATCACGTTTCACAGGCGTCACGTACATTCACCTAAGGAAGAGATCAAATCGTTGTTCTGTTCAATATGCATTTTCTTTTTTAATCAAAAACTGTATTTTTTATCAAGGTTGTGCGATATGGTTGCATTCGCGACCACCTCCGAGAAACCCTCCTGGACATGGTAATGCGAGAACGACGAGGCGAAAAAGTTGACAGGATCTCGATAAAAAACGCCTGTCAGATGTTAATGGTCCTCGGAATAAACTCTCGGGCAGTGTACGAAGAGGACTTCGAGCGACCCTTCCTTCAACAATCTGCCGAATTTTACAAAGTAGAAAGTCAAAAGTTCTTAGCAGAAAATAGCGCGTCCGTGTATATAAATAAAGTAGAAGCCAGAATTAACGAAGAATCTGACAGAGCAAAGCACTACCTCGACGAATCTACCGAATCCAGAATCGTCGAAGTGGTCGAAGAAGAACTGATCAAGAAACACATGAAGACGATAGTCGAGATGGAAAACAGCGGCGTCGTCCACATGCTGAAACATCAAAAAACCGAAGACCTGGCTTGCATGTATAAGCTCTTCGGAAGGGTGGCCGACGGACTCAAAACGATGGCTGATTGCGTCAGTCAGTATCTGCGAGAGCAAGGAAAAGCGTTAGTCCAAGAGGAGGAACACCAGCCATCCACGAACGCTATCACTTTCGTCCAGTCGTTGCTAGATCTGAAGGACCGTTTCGATCACTTCTTGAAGAATTCGTTCAATAACGATAAGATCTTCAAACAGATGATCGCTTCAGATTTCGAGCATTTCCTCAATCTTAATCCGAAGTCGCCGGAATATCTTTCTTTGTTCATAGATGACAAATTAAAGAAGGGTGTGAAGGGGGTAAGTTGAGTTGGTGGTTGTGTTTCGGTGTTTAATGTGTGTTCCGGTGGTTCTAGATGTCGGAGCAGGAGATCGAGCTGGTTCTGGATAAGTCCATGGTACTGTTTAGGTTCTTGCAAGAAAAAGATGTGTTTGAGCGTTACTACAAACAACATTTGGCTAAGAGACTGCTTCTGAACAAATCGGTCAGTGATGATTGGGAGAAAAATATGATTTCAAAGTTAAAGGTAAGTGCGTGTGTTTGTTGTGAAAGAATGAGGTTAATTTTGAATTTAACTTGGACGTTCTGCATTTAATTTAAAAATCCAAAAATCAAAAAATAAATTGTTTTTTGACGTTTATAGATATGTATCAACCATTGACTATCAAACAATAATTTTAGTTTAATTATCGTATTATTATGAATGTGAAATGTCACTGCCGACTGTTATTCAAGCACGGTCAATACAATATGCAGTGGTTTGCAATTTTTACATGTTTTTCATTCAGTTTGAGAAATTGGTTTTTTCGCCTAAGAAATTTATCCAACACCTCTTAATGACTAATGGTGATTTTAAAGGTTATAAGCAGCTCGGACCCATTGGTATACCCAGACCAGTATTTTTGTACCCAGCAAAATTTTAATGGAATCATTACTGTACTGTTAAGTGAACACTTGACGATTTTTTGACCATAATTATAATGCTTTATGGGGGCGTTTCCGTAAAAGTCATTTCGACTTTTCTAATGTGTTCAATGAACTCTTGTTTCTTGACGTATACTTGTTCACTTATGACATTTACTCAATGTAATTCTTGTATTTTTTTTTAAACTGTCATTAATCTCTTCAGGAACTGTGGTCAAGGATTACAAATTATTTCAAAGAAGCAAACAATTCATCTTTGAATTCAATTTATTTAAGCTTCGACTTAAACATCGTAAAATGTGTTTTTATTTATACAGGTGTCTTTTTTATTTGATACAACCCCTGTAACTTCTTTATTTTTTAAGATAAACATATGGTTCTTTGATCAAATTTGTATTATCTCGCTGATGGTAAGCATATTCTCTTATTAGTACTTTCAGTAGAATCGGAAATGACACTTAATTTTTTTATTTATTGTTTTATAATATTGATTACTTTTGATTTTTTGTGCTAAAAAATACAAAGAATTCGTTTATTCAAAAATAAACTAGGTGTTCCATTTAAAAATATGAAGTTGTTGTCATTTCTGGTATTCCCGAAAGTGAGAATTAATGAATGTGTTTAACATCAAAGAGATCTTGTAGTATGATAAAAATTTGTCACGGACAAAGAACAAAGAACCTATCTTCGAAAATAAAAAAAGTTAACAGGGGTTGTATCAAATAAAATGACACCCTGTATAAGTTTCTTTTTTAAAATACACATGTGAATTGTATTTTAAAATATTAGCAAATATTTTTTTGCAGTAAAATTATTACTTGCTTTAAATGTTTGAGGCTACACTGAAATTTTAAAAATACGTTCCTGGCACGGGATTCTACCTGCATTTGATACAGTGTCATTTAGAGTCTGTTTACAGAGTTACTATATTTTTAATTTCACAGAACAGTAAAATAAATCTTAATAACAGGTACAAAATTAACGTTCTGAAAATACAATAGATTTTCTGTTATTGAATTTAGGATTGTTGCCACTATTCTAATTTATTTCATTTTTGGTTAGTTTTATTAAAATATGACTATTCAGTAGATTTGGTGATACTTTTACTTTTATCATGGGTTTCTGTCAAGGAAACAAAAATTGCGATAACATGTTAATATTACAATAGACAAACATGTGGAAAATATCAAGGAGCGTCAGATAAAGAATTTTAAGGACGTTTGTCGAGCATTTACATCTGAAAATACATGTAATTCTCGATAAATTAAGCAATACTTGTTTACATAAATTTCTTGAAAACGATACCAAATGAGACATTCTTATGAACCTACAATTAGAAAACACTGTTGTAATAATTAGTCGCAATCGCAAAAGAACATTTTAGAGCTTAATCCATTTATACCGAAACAATTTATTTTTAAACTTAAAAAAAAATACCAGACTATCTTATTAACAACGGGAAATTGAATGTTATATTTAACAGTGCTACGGTGAACGATTCCCACCCATTATTATAATATCGTTTTCTGCGTTTACCAGCAGAGTTGCTGGAGAACGTCTCAGACTGTGTCCAGTAAATGACCGAATATTTTCAAGAAAGAAGCGAGTATTTGAGGCATCTCAGACAAGATGCTGATTCTAACTAGTGGAAGGCAGCATTTTTTTTCTTGTAAGTGACAAATACATAATGGAAATCCTTCTATGATGATTGCGAAGTTTCATACAAGTATCCTTCCTTATCTTCTATATCGTCAACTGTAAAGTTCATTGTTCCATCACAACGTCAAGTGCCTGATATGCTCCTTAGTAAGTAATGCCAAAAATCTGGAAAAATACAAAATAACTATTTTGGCTTAAATGTAAAAGAAAAAATGAATAATATGTGCATTATTAAATAACGACAGTCAAGTTAAAAGCCTTTCCACATGTTTTTACTTTCCAAGATTTTAGCTTGACAATTTGCTTTCAATCTTAAGCTATTATTAGGAGGTGTTGGATAAAGTTTGGTGTGGTACACATGTGTTACTTATTTAAGGCAGTAAAGTGAAGCTGTTAATCTCTTTAACTTAACAGCTTCAAACCGCGTGTTGTTTAACCAATGTTAACGCTGGGTTCGTTATTCACTCACCTTTATTTCTACATTTAGTTGGCGATTCTGATAACAGTAAGCCGAAATTTGTGAATTATGTTTTATTAATCTTGTTTCGATTAAGATCTGAGATTAACTTGGAGCCATTAAACATAAATAATTTTTGGTGGATATTGGTCAAGTTCGTGAAAGCGATTTCAAATAACCGTTTTGGTAATGAATTTCTAATGATTGTGGAGAAGATCGTTAGCGATGCGACGCCGCAAAGCAGGAAAAAATAAAAAAATACTTTGGAGATAATTTAGAGAGTTTTGCCTCAAAACGAGCGTCTTGCATGGAAATTTGCTTGTCGCTAAAATTGTTGAAAAGTTAACCGATTGAGTTAGAAATGAAGATGGAACTGAACATAAGGCATATTTTGTTAAATTCTTGTAACAAAATAGCACAATAAAAATATTTCAAAGTACGATTCAGTGGTAGAAAATGGATTGTGGATGTCGAAGTAAAATTGCTCTACATAAAAAGAGTGAAAGTTATTTCCTGCACTATTTGGCGGTTTCTCATTTCACAAAGGTCGGCGTATATGAACCAGAATTAATTGAAACGATACAGAAGTACTGTAGTCACCAATTCAGTTAAGATTTATTTAGGTGATACTACAAAGTTGATAAGTGCACAATGGGTAGTCATATAAGTACTCCCTATTTTTCAGATTTTAGCTATACTAAATGAACAAATTTTCACAACTCTTTTTTTTAGTTTTAGCACTTTACTTAATTTCTCCACGTTCCCCACAGTTATTTGTGGACACAATTTTAAGTAACTTAAGGAAAATCGTAAACTATTAACCAGAAAATAATTGTATACAAACTTTTTTTTAACTAAAACTTACCTATAAAAAACGAAAAATGCCCATCAAGAATTTTTAGTATCCAGAATTTTGTGTAATAAGTTTATTTGAAGCCGTATAAGTACTTAATCAGCCTTATCATTATAATGTAAGAAGAGTGATAAACATTTAAGTATCAGTTTATTAACTCGCACAGGAGTGCTTTGCAAATAGGACTAAAATTTGAGAAGAACATCAGACACGTCACACAGGTTGTCTTTATGAACAAATTTGGTTAGCATTGATAAGAGAGTACATTGAACCAAATTTAATATTGCCACGTTTATAACTGTCAGTGTCATAGTATTTTTCCTATTTTAAAAACTGCGGATGATACCAAAGTTCATACATAAAAGTTCTACCATATCGTAAAATTTAGTTTCTATGGACACTCATTTGAAATATTCAACCAGTTTTGTCATATGTTAACGACACTCTAGTATTTTTGTTATGTAAACATTCTGTAATTTTAGTTTAATTTTGGTCTTCCAAAATTGCAAAAAATGTAGTTTATTACGTTTATTTCAGTTTGTTTATGGAACTAATTTAATTTATTTGATGATGTTCAATTTTTCAAATTTATTTTGTCAAATTATGTTCAGCATCCGAATTTTTTTACGGCTAGTTGTTGAGACTGTGGTAAATAAGTAGTTAATGTTATTACTTCTCGGTTTTATGATGTTGGACATAATTTATTTATCAATATTGTTTTATCATGAAGTGAAGGTTATTCGATCAATATTAAACCTGAAGTTCAAGTGTTTTTAAAGAACGAAAAAAAAGTATTAATTGTGCATAATGTAAACAATAAACTGTAAAACTATTGATTGTCATTCTTGATTACTAGAACAGATGTATTTTATTCATCCATAATGTCGCTATATATTGTACTTTTTCAAGATTTTTTATATTTAATAGGATATTGAGCTTTTTAGTATTCATTTATTTGTATTTCATAATTTATTAATGATTTCGGAACATTCCACCATAAACAAGATATTTTCCATAAAAAATTAACAGTCAGAATGTTTTCACAGATGTGTCTCAGTCAATAGTTCTAACATTTATATTTTTAAAATTTGGAAGTTTGTTCCATTTTAATTGTATTATTTTTTCGTTTTTTTAAAGTGTAGATAATAATTGTAGCTAATTCATTTTACCTTTTAAAATTTTATCATGTAATCATTTAAGTCACATCACATCATTGTCATAACTTCGATCTTCTGTCAGATACGTCAATTAAATTATGGTTATGAACATTGAAATAAAAACGAGAAATCTGGCGAGGACTTCAGCGACCTTTGTTTCTAACGGGTAGCTTAACTAACACAAAATGTATATATTAAAAGACTTTTTGAATTTTTTTGGTAAATATACACCATATTTTACTGCAGTTAATAACGTTGACCGCGTACTATGTTAATTGTCAAGGTGTATTTGTTATATATTGCGAAATAGCCTCATGCATAATTAAATTGTTGTAATAATTTATGCGGCGAAAATTTTCAATTAATAGACAAAATTGGCTAAATGTCAGGTAAACATTTGCTTCGTTATGCAAACAATAACGACGGTAACCAGTGCAATAACCGCAGTTGAATCGCTTTTGAATTTGACTTGTTTGAAACTTTTCGCGTTTAAACGTTAGTATTTGTGGAAGTTTTGTTGAAAATTAACGCATAAAATGGAGCGCCAATCTAAGATGATGATTTAAATGCAAAATGTATACTGGGTTGCCGACCATTCTGTAAAAAATAAAAGTGGTGATTTTAAAATTTATGTTCTATGAAGTTGTATTTTTTTTTTATTACCACAATCAATAAATCTGAAAATTCTGCGGCAAACTTTTTGTTTGAAAAATCTAATCGCTCATTCATCAATTTCACCTATTTTTCACTACATTTTTAAATACAGGTGTATGGAGTGTGTCATTTTGACGATCTTTTGGAAAATAAAGTGGTTGAGCTCCAAGAAGATATTGCCTAAATTTGTGTTGTTGTATAATACTGCTGTCTTGTGATTTCGTCCTGCAAAATTCTCACGAATCTGTCTCATTATGTATGGTATATTATTTGCAATATTAAGATATAGATACTCTTCACGAGTGTTGAAATTTGCATTGGTTTGTAAAAAATGATAAAAGTTCTTGAGAATTTTGCAACTTTTTTGTGGAGTATCTATATCTTTTTTAATATTGAAGCAAAACACGCTTGTGATCTGTGTTTTTTTTTTGTAGACTGAGTGCGGTTGTCAGTTCACTTCAAAATTGGAGGGTATGTTCAAGGATATGACCGTTTCCAACACCATCATGGACGAGTTCAAGGATCATATCACCAAAACCGAGGTAAGGTTTGCACAATATACAGAGTGGTCATGTAAGTTTGAACGTACTAATTATTGTAAAAGTATCATTTGTCGCCCATCTGAAATACCGCTAACAAAGTTTCAGTTCTGCCAATAATTCTAACATTTGTTGTAAGGAAAAGTTTGAAATAAGTAATATGTACAAGTGCAGTGTATATTAAGTTGCCTATAGCAGAGTATATTAGTTAGTTATTCTAGTGGTGATGATGGTACAAAACACATTTTATAAAATTTTATTAAAGGAAACGTGATGTTTGAACTTTTAGATTTACATATTTAATACTTAGATGTGTATATTGTACTTCAGTGCCACGACCTTTGATTAGAACATTTTCTGCTAAACGAAAGTTGGAGGAAACTTTTTGATAATAATAGAGTAACTTCAGAAAATAAGAGTTGGATAAAATTTCAGTGACGTGTACTAATAAATAATTACTAGATTAGTTGTTGTACAAAAGCATAAAAGTTTGTTATAATTGCTTCATAATAGTGGCGGCTCGTTCGGGGCGGCGAGACCTTTTCAGAGGAAATTGATAAAATTAATTTTGTTTGGGAAAAAAAAATGCTTTCTGAGACTAAAATTATCAAAATAATCAATATAATATTAAATTAAATAAATTTCTTTTAATTTAATAGCGCTAATTGAAATGATAAATGCAGCAGCAGGACTTTCCTTTATACAACTGTACTTCGAATTGCACTGGGAGTTTTAAATGATTGATGACTGATGCATGAATTTAATTTATAATTCATAAATTAACTGAAAAAATAAACTTTGGACAAATTATATTTTTATTTAGTTAGATTAGGATTGATGATATACCACCAATCAAATAATTTAGCTCTACTCAAATATATGTTATTTTATATTGCCGCTATTTTTTACATTTCTAATGTTGCACAGTTTCATAAAAATAGTCATACACGGGAGATATATTATTAAAAAAAAATAGGACTAAAAAAATTTCTTAGATGTTTCAGATTATTTGAAAAGTTTAAAGTCTCTCAACATATTTTCTTCTATCCTGTATAGAATGCGATAAAAGTGTTAACTGAATAGAATAACAAATAACTAATGAAAAAAAAAAAAAAACAATTACAGTAAGTATTTAACGTAAATAGAGTATGCCACTAATTACAGTTACATTCTCAAAAGCTATCGAGAAAACGATAGGGTAGCAGCATTAACAAAATATTTATTGCTCAGAAAGTCTGTATAAAAAAAAGGAAATATATGACACACAATGGGTCGTATGCTTTCCTTTCGTTAAGTCATTCATTATCTAAAATTTTGATTAGAAGGAGTGACACAATAAAATAAAAGCGTCTATCAAGGAGAAAAAATGTTAATTAAAGGAAAATAATACGGACCAAAGAAGTAATTGTATCAACAACGTCCAATTGCGCTGAATCTTGTGAAAACAGCTGTGAATTTTGTTTTGCTATTTTATGCAAAGTTGATTTTTTTCTTTAGCGGGTTCTTCTTGTCGCATATGGACATTTTATTTCTACAACTGTATTTTCGCTTGTAATCTAATCTGCAATTATCAACTGGATATGTAGATAATCCCACACGGACGAATTTCTTCGTTTAAAATAGATTTCATTTCGCGTCGAGCTATTATTTCATTATCGATTCAACACCTGGTATTCGTATTGCCTTTAAATCCTATCAAAATGGACCTAGTAACCTTTGAACAACTTGGTCGAGATCGAATTTTACATGGGGGAAACTGTGTGAGGTGGATCCGTCTTCATTGCTCTTTCGTCATTTTTTTTTTTGTAATTTCTATATTGGTTTTATTTTGTTTATTTAGTTTTTTTAATTCTTCAGAGATCTCCGTGTCTATGATATAAAAATCTACCCATAATCTAAGTCAGCAGTTGTTTTTCGTTTGAAATCTATTTTAATAGTAAAAAAAAATGTTCAAATTTGAAAATTTCACGACAAATTTATAAAAATTGTCAGCAATGCCGAGAAAACAAAGAAATTTGTTAATAAAAGAAGCCTCGATCAAATGTCAGACGAAATAAAACTAAACAACCAACAAATCTTGAAAAACTTGAAAACATTTTTTCAGTAAAAAATTGATGATGGTAGAACTAGGTAATCTAAAACGATCCAGAAAGTGTAGGTATTTACCATCAAATTAATTTTGGAGCCTCAAAATATAATGTTTAAAAAAATCTGATGAATTTCTAGTAATATGGTAGGTACTTCTAGGTTATGCAACAACATATAGTAAATAACTGACAAAATTTTTTGATAGTGCTGCCGCTACAAAATATGTCGATGTCATACAAATCTTTTTATTTTTGCCAAAATCGGTCTTGTTTTAGCAGATACTAGTACCCTTGAAGAAAATAAAGGGTGGGTGGGCGGGGCCAATACTTGCCAAGGTAAGACTGATTTTGCCTCTACCCTTTATTTTCTTAGAGGGTAAGTATGTCATTTGCCAAAATCAGTCTTATCTTGCCAGCTACTAGCCCCGCCCACCCACCCTCTCTTTTCTTAGAGGGTATGTCATTGCCAAAATCAGTTTTATCTTAGCAAGTTCTGACGACTAAATTTTACAAAAAATGATCAAAATTTGGAAAGATTACGAATTTAGTTATATGCACAAGACAGGAATTTTGAACATCTTCTCTAGTGTTTAGTTGGTTATGCTTTCATGAATTTTCTTTTGTTGGTTTTGTTTTTGTTTGTAATTTATAAATGTCTTATGAAATGTTTTTTTTTTTTGGTTTATTTGTTAATGAAAAATAACAGCTTGTTTTATTAATAATATTGCACAACGACTAATGAGTACTGGTTGTTATAGTTATTCTCTTAAAAAAAAAACTAAAAGGTATATATTTATTTTTGTTATTTTTTCACTGATTCGATTTTTCAGTGTTTCGATGTATTTTTTTGTTTCAGTTTCTCGTTTCTTCAATTTTTCGATTTGTAGCTTTTCGATTTTTATTTCTTTTTTGGTAATACTTGTAAAATAAGAATGAGAATTAGCAAATCACCTCTAATATAGAGGGCGGGTGGGCGGGCCTAGTACATGCTAAGATAAAACTAATTTTGGCAAATCATATACCCTCTAAGAAAATAGAGGGTGGGTGGGCGGGGCTAGTACTTGGGGCTCCTCCCACCCACCCTTATTCTGTTTTCATCATTCATTCTTATTGGCTGTGAAGAAAGAATTTCACCAGTTTTCAATTTTAAAATTATAAAATCGAAAGAAATTTTGAAAAAATAAAGGAAAAATTGTGATATGAAATCACGAAAATGAAACTCAAAAAATCGAGAATATGAAAAACAAAAATCAAGGGCTTTAAAAACTGAGGAAACAAAAAATCGAAAAAGGAAAGACCAAAAATTCTTTTCGATTCTCCAACTTTCGATTTTTTCAATTTTTATATTTTGCAAATTTCGGTTCTTCATTTTCGTTATTTTTTCACTTATTCGTTTTTTCAGTGTTTCGATTTTATTTTTTGTTTATTCAATTTTAATTTTTTCAGTTTCTCGTTTCTTCAATTTTTCGATTGTCCAATTTTTGGATGTTTTAGTTTCCAGATTTTGTTATTTTTCTATTTACAATTTCCCGAGTTTTCAATTTTTAATTTCACACATTTTGGATTTATCAATTTTTTGTTTCTTCAATTTTTCGATTTGCGATTTTTCATTTCTTCAGTTTTTCTATTTGCAATTTGTCATTTTTTTTTTTGGTAGTACTTGCTAATATAAGACTGATTTAAGCAAATCATATACCCTCTAAGAAGATAGAGGGCGGGTGGGCGGGCCTAGTACATGCTAAGGTACAACTAATTTTGGCAAATCATAGACCCTCTAAGAAAATAGAGGATGGGTGGGCGGGGCTAGTCTTGCTATGATAAGATTGAATAAAATTAAGAGTAGTCACTGGGGAGTCTGTGAGCGAAGCTACTGCTTGCTTGTAAAACTCGTTAGAAAAACCTAAACTCAGCTCCGCCCACTTCTTGTTTTCATTTTACTGACTATTTTATTCACTCTAAAATGTGAATTGAATTAATTCTATTTTAAAAAGCGGTAGAATCTAAGATTTAAAACAAAGTAAAATTATTCCGTTTTCATCATTCATTCTTATTGGCTCTGAAGAAAGAATTTCACCAGTTTTCAATTTTTTATTATTCGATTAAAAAATAAAGGAGTTGTAAAACGGATAAATTGTGATTTGAAATCGAGAATATGAAAAACAAAAATTAAAAACTTGAAAAATTGAGGAAACGACAAATTGAAAAATCCAAAGCTGAAAAATCGAAAAATTAAAAATTGTAAAATCGAAAGACTGAAAATGTAAGAAAATGAAAAAACGAAAAATTGTAATATGGAAAATTTAAAATCGAAGAAAAAGGAAAAACGAAAAATTCCAATATCAAAAAATTGATCGAAGGTAAATAAATCCAGATTTTCCAAAAAATGATAAGAATTAATTTTGCGAATTTTATTTTTAACTCCAACCGGTTTTCGAGAATCGCCAATTGAAATATTGCAATTTTTAAAAATTGGTCGAAAGTTGTTTCGACAGAACTTCCCTCGCTCCTGAAGTACAATGAAACATATCCAGCATTTTTGCAAGGACACGTATATCAACTTGGATTGGTGCAGTCCAAGACTAAAAATAACAGTATTGTATTCCCAAAATTTTCTGGAAAAATGGAGTGAGTCGTTCCTGATATAATCAATAAAATAAATTCGTTCTTTTTTTTTGACCCACCTGTTTAAGCAATTCTAAAAATATGAATGGAATGATAAATCACAAGTAGAATTTATTTGGTAAAATTTTGAGATGTCATCATTTTTTGAGGAGAAATAAAGAGACATATTTTGATTAACAATTTACCATGGTTAAAAGTTTTGACGTCTTTTCTTTTTCTTCTTAATATAATTTTCTCTTCACAACAAGAAACTGAAAACATGTTTAAAATAGTACATTTTGTCCCTCATATTTCTATACAAATTTACAAGAAAAGAAAATATATTAAGAAAAAAACGCTAAACACAAACCCCGCTCACCCACTCTCATCTCAATTGTGACGACTTGTTTTAATTGTTGTGAGCCGAGGGGCGGAGCTTAATTGCAAAATGCTTATTTCTCTACAAGAATCTACCACGTAAGACATATTTTCATGTATACATACGTATTATGTTTTTAAAAGAAAACTATATAGGTATGTCAAGAAAGAAAGAGTCAAAAAATAAGCCCCAACCTCAAATGTGATAAATTTTTCATTCGTTGACTAAGTACTTGCTAAGACTGATTTTGGCAAATCACATACTTTCCAAGAAAATAGAGGGTGGGTGGGCGGGGCTAGTATTTGCCAAGATAAGACTGATTTTGGCAAATCACATACCTTCCAATAAAATAGAGGGTGGGCGAGTGGGGCTAGTACTTGCTAAGATAAGATTTATTTCGGCAAATGACATATTCTCTGAACAAATAGCCTCCAAATATTCTAACCCTTTCAAAGGTTTTAGAGCTTCCAAGGATATCAAAAACTCTAAGGACTACAAGGATTTCAGGAATTTCAAAAAATTAAAAAAAAGCTAGAGAAACCGGCAATTTAAAAATTCTGAAGGGATTTCAGGGATTCCAAAAATCCGAAAATTCCACAAATTTCAAATATTTAAAAATTGGAAAGATGATAAAAATCCTAAAGATCTAAAAATATTTAAAATTCTAGAGATACTGAAGTATCTAAAAATAATGAAAATCTGAAAGCTCTAAAGATTATAGAAATTCTAGTGATTCTAGTTTCTAGAGATTCTAAAGATTCCAAAGTGGTTAGAAAGATTCAAAGAGTATAAAAGCTTTTACGGATTACATACACTAGAAACTGCGAATTGTAAAGACACTTAAGATTCCAAATAAACTAAAGTTCTAATGTTCCAAATATAAAAAAGATCCAACAAAATCTTAAAAATTTTAAAGAACCTGGGGTTACTAATGATCCTAGAAATTGCAGAAATTTTAGGCTTTATAAAACTCCTAGTAATTACCAAAGTGTTCAAAATTTCCATAGATTGGAAAGGCTCTAAAGGGTCCAAAGACTCTAAGGACCCTAAGGGGTCAAAAGCTAAAATTCTGTTTCGAATACTTGAAAGATTCTAAAGGTTCTAGAGAAACTCCAAAAGGCCAAAGATTCTATAACTTGTGAAAATCGCGTGAACTCTTAAAATACCAAAGACTTTAAAGAAAACAAAAATCTTAAACACCTAAAAATCGTAAAGATCGGAAAAATGCTTTCTTTAATTTTTATAAATCCTAAAAGCACTAAAGGCCTTGAACACCCTAATTATTATTTTATAAATCTTGGAGACTGTAAAGATTCCAGAGATTCCAAAAATTCCAAAGATTTAGACTCTTGAGATCTATAAATTTTAGAAAATCTGAAAAAATTTAGAAAGTGTGGGAAAATTGTGGTAGACCTAGAAATCTTGAAAATATTGGAAAAGATTGAATTTTAAAATTCTGGTAAACTGGAGCCTGATATATCTGAAAAATGGAGTGAGCCGTTCCTGACGTAATCAATAAAATAAATTGAACATCCATTAATTTTTTTGAGTCACCTGTACAAGCAAATCTAAAAAATATGAATGCAATGATAACTCACACGTAAAAACTCATGATATTTTGCATATTTCGGGTAGATTTAGGAATTTAACTCGTTACTATGGAAATTTGTAATATGACACCTCTAAAGTTTACAAGTTTTTACAAAGTTAATAGAGGCAAAATCACTTTTATCTTAACAAGTGCTTGGCCCGCCCACCAGCCCCCTATTTTCTCAGAAGATATGTCATTTGCCGAAATAAATCGTGACTTAACAAGTACTAGCCCCACCCACCCACCCTCTTTTTTCTTGGAAGGTATGTGGTTTGCCAAAATCAGTCTTATCTTAGTAAGTACTAGCCCCACCCACCCACCCACCCTCTTTTTATTGGAAGGTATATGATTTGCCAAGATCAGTCTTATCTTAGCAAGTACTAGACCCGCCCACCCGCCCTTTGTTTTCTCAGAGGATTTGTTATTTGCCAAAATAAGGCTTATCTTATTTATCAAGTACTAGCCTTACTCACCCGCCCTTTATTTTCTCAGAGGGTAGTAGTTGCTAGTACTTGCTAATATAAGTCTTATTTTGGCAAATGACATATCCTCTGAGAAAATAGGGGCGGGCGGGCGGGGCTAGTACTTGCTCAGAAAAGACTGATTGTGGCAAATCACATACCTTCCAAGAAAATAGAGGGTGGGTGGGCGGGGCTAGCACTTGCTAAGATAAGACTGATTTTGGCACATCACATACCTTCCAAGAAAATTCGTGTTTCCCGATAAAAATTTACCATTTTAAACGTTTTAAATATCTTGACGCGAAAAGAAGATTATGCATATTCAGAAAAACGGCAAAATTAAAGCCCCGCCCACCCACCGCCATCTCAGTTGTAAATGATTTTTTTATTCGTTGTGACCCAGAGGGCGGATTTAACTGCAAAATCCTTATTTCTCAACAAAAACTTACCATCTGAAACATGTTTTTAAGTTTGATGTTATTTACATTTCAGTCACCATCGTTACTAGGAAATCAGAAAGTGAGCCGGAGTTATTCACGCATTAGTTGTGTGCAGGGTTGCCAATTTTACTTTTATAAAATTACGTTTTTTTCGAAATCTATATCATAATCAATTTTTTTATTATTTTTTTTGGGACTCTCGAAACCCCCATACATAACGTACTGAAGTGTTAATCCGCTATTTTCCAGACATCCGGTATATGTTAAACAAATAATCAACGGGAAAGTATGTTTTTCAATATCTCATTACATGCCGGTGTTATTATTTGATAAAAAACTGTACCACTCTGTAAAAATAAAAATGATAAACTGCTGACAAAATCACCAAAAAAAGCCACTTTAAAGAATTATATGTCTAAATAAAATATCTATATTAACCATGTTGCTACAGAAAAAAAAAAAATACACACATTTATAGGAAATAATTCAACCTCGCTGAATTGGCTTGAGCACATTGTAAAACTATTTAGGATAAGCAGATTACAAGCGCAGATTATAAAACTATGGCAAAGTTAAAAACGTATGGCTTCAAGCCCTATGCAATTTTATTCCTCAAATGTGGCGCAATAGTATAAAACGTTGTGAAAACCTCATTCTTGATATCTAATTCAGATGAATTTTATAATCAAGATGATAATGAATAATTGTCTTATTTTTATTTCAATTCAGCTTTTGGTTTTCTTTTTGTGGTGTTTTATTTTCCTTAATTATTGTTCATCCTAACCTCAATTTTTACACATTTTTCCACAAAAAATCTCGCTAGACAATGTTGTCGGTTGAGTTTTCGTTCTATATTGTCGGCTGAGTGGTCCTTTACTTTTTGAACAGATAAATATAGGCCATCCATGAAAATAGTGGTTTTATGATTTTGTTTTTTCCAAATAGTAAGAAGGGGTACGTTCAGACTAAGTGATCACTCTGTCTGTAGATACAGACATTTTTTTTTTTACTTTAATCTATTGATATTTTTTATTTTTCTAACTAATGTTTACCGTTTTAGTCAAACCTATGTGGGGTGGATCTATTCATGCGCGTTTTAACAACCGGCTTCTGGCCCACGCAGAGCGCCACCCCCAAGTGCCACATTCCCGCTATTCCACTAGCTGCCTTCGAATGTTTTAGTAGGTGAGTATTCGACGTATGCTGCAGATACCAGTCGTCTGATCCATCCTTGCGATTAGGTTTTACTTAGCCAAACACAGCGGAAGGCAGTTGACTTTACAACCCCAGCTGGGCAACGCAGATCTCAATGCCATCTTTTTCGGTCCGAAAAAGGAAGATCCAGACAAGGAAGGAGCGTGTTCGTCTACTAGTTCCATTTCGCCCAGAACAGGTCCACGGAAGCACATTATTCAAGTATCGACGTACCAAATGGTGGTCTTAATGTTGTTCAACAACCACGAGAAACTCTCATACGAGGAAATCCTGAACGAGTCGGATATACCAGAAAGGGATCTGATCAGGGCGCTGCAGTCGTTGGCGATGGGCAAAGCGACGCAGAGGATCTTGATAAAGAATCCCAAGACGAAGGAAATCGAGTCCAACCACGAGTTTTACGTGAACGATTCGTTCACGTCGAAGCTGCATAGAGTTAAGATTCAAACGGTCGCCGCCAAGGGCGAAAGCGAGCCGGAGAGACGCGAAACTAGGAATAAAGTGGACGAAGACAGGAAGCACGAAATAGAAGCAGCTATCGTTAGAATAATGAAGTCGCGAAAGCGGATGCCGCATAATATTCTGGTCACGGAAGTGACCGAACAGCTGAAGAGCAGATTTTTACCATCTCCTGTTATTATTAAGAAACGAATAGAAGGGTTAATTGAAAGGGAGTACCTGGCGCGGACGCCCGAAGACAGAAAAGTTTACACTTATGTTGCTTGAACTTATTTGTTTTGTTTTGTTCTGGTGGAATATGTGCGTGGATAACAGTTATCCTTCAAAGCAAAACTATACATGAAATTTAAATTACATTAAATTATTTAAAGAGCGATCCTTTACCTCCTTGCGCTGCAGACGCATAATTAAATATTTTGATTTTTCTCTTAATTTTTAGTTTTTTTACTATATCTGATTTGTTTCTCATATTTATTTCCAGTTCATCAAGTTGAACATGATTGTAAATATTTTCATCATATTTAAGGAAGATTATTAAGTCACAGGTTCTATATTTGTGCTGATGATGAACGTTTAATGAAGTTCAATAAACTTGTCCAGATAATGAACAGGTAGCGATGTTGGCACTACCAAATTCTTCGTTATATCTATGACAGAAATAAATCAATATGTTTTTAATATGTAAATTTTTGCATTTTTACTGGACTCGATCCTTTTGTGCTTTGATCTAATTACAGTTGTAAAATTTGTCTATTATATATATTTTTGTTTAAAATCTTATCTTTTTTTGTGTTAGGTATGAAGTGAAGAATAAACATGGACATAATGTTTCATAAGAAGATACCAGTTTCTGGATTTTTTATTTATACTTTTTTAATCACTTTTTGTATGGCAAAAACCGATCCCTATTTTTTTTTGCCGTACATCACTCCGAATATTTTTGTCACCTGTCACATCACAAAAGCAGGGTTTTATACATGAGTATAAATGAAGGACCAATATAATAATTTTGTGGACTAATGTGGAAACTACTTCAATACACGATCGATATAATGGACCACCAAACTACGTAGAATTTACATGGGGAAGAAGACGTTGAAACAACTTTTTGGTTTACCGTTACATTAGAAAACCCTATTGAAGATCTCGGAACAAGTGAAAAATGTAAATCTATAGGAGAGGTGAGACATTTTTCAAAATTAATGAACCTGTTTTATCGAAAACATCATTACGTATAATCCATGAAAAAAAGTCTACACATGGTATTTCACGTAAAACTCACTATTTTCCTTCTAACTTTTTTATGTGAAGGTACATCGCCTAGCGCAGGGTATATTGAACAGTATCGTAATACTTTTTATTAAAAGATATTAGAAATGTTCTAAATTTCGTGAATTTATCCTTGCGATCAAAAGAATTATGGTCGGCTTTGAAATAAGTAAACTCATTCTGTTGGAGTGAATATTTACATTCACCATTGACTTGCGATTTCGATTTCTAGAACGTAGAACCCAGAAAACAAAAACTGTGATTGTTGGATTGGTGTTTTTTGATTTATTATGTTACAAGATCTGGAAAATTACGCCAGTGTAAGGTAAGGGTAAAAGAAATACATTAATTTTTTTAAGATAACATTTAAGTCGCAAGATAATTGTATTACTAATCGCATTCTTCATATTTTCTCTTACTATAGAGCATTTTTACAACAAATGTCTCTTATCACTTTTTTTAAAAGTTCACCTGTTTGTGTTGGTAACATACAATTTCCCCATGCATCTAGTAATTTTTGTACAGTACCAGTGGTAGCATTATAGATGATTGGTGACACCTGGGTGACACTTTTGTTAATTCAAAACAGAATTTTACGCAAGCACTAAGAAAATTCAGAATTTAAACATACCTCACGAAAAGAAAATGGTATCAAAACCTGAGATAATGAAAGTCTTCTAACCACAGATTTTAAATTAAGAAAGAAGGTATCATGTTTACAGATGTCACAGAACAAATAATTTAACCGCCATTTGTATATGTCCACTTGATAAAAAGTAAGGTTGGTGACACTGTCCTGCTTCTTTCAAAAATTCATGTCCCTCTTGGATCATATTTTTTATTGATTTCTCGGTATAACAAATTCAACCATTCATGTATGCAGTGGTTGATATTTTTTTTATCACCCTCTGTATAGGGCAATAATCATACTTCGTGATTCTGATTTGTTTTAATGAATTGAATTGTCTGATTGACAAACAATTTTAGTTATTAATAATTTAACAACATTTTGCGAGAATATGATTCACGTTATTTTTTGCTGTTGACAGAATGATGTTATTGATAATTTTTATCAGAATTTTAAATTTTCAATTAAATTCACATCAAAACATATCAAAATTGCGAAGTCAGGTCCTCAATTTTGAAGTTTTAATATTTTCAAAAATTAGGTTTAGACCATTTTTTTTAAGTTCTGTCGAGACTTCTTAATATCGAGCAAATACCTCATTTTTTCATCACCCTGTATATTCAATTTGTTACGTACGACTAAGCGTCATTTTGATACACTGTTACATAGTTTATTAAGTTAATTTTTTTTACACTAGTTAAACACTAGAAATATACAGGATGAGTCAGTATAAGTGCACGCTCCTCGATATCTCACTAATTACGTATTAAAAATGGGAAAAAAAGTGTCAGACTAAAGTTGTACAGTTTTTTGAGAACCACATACTAAAATTATTTATATACAGAGTGTTCTATTTTAAGGCGTAACACAAAAAATAGTTTAAAAAAAAAACTGTAGGTATTTTATATATTTTTATTGACTTCCCTTAAGTTTTATAGCCATTGTTTATTTTCGAAATTCCGATGCGACGTTGCCCAGTTATTTCTTTTTTTTATATGTATATATATATATATTAAAAAAAAAAAAAACTCATACGAGCTTTATTATGGTATAAATAAAATTGAATTTTAATATATAGTATTTAAACAATAAATAATAATTATAACAATATTCAGATATCAATATTTCATTTTTTTGAAATAGAATACCCTGTATTTTATTACTGGATCTTGTTTTGTTTTTCTTCTCTTTTTTTTTTGTTAAATATTTTCTATATTTAAAGTTGATAGTTACTGAGATTTTTTACTTTTTTAAAGAACACGCCGACATTCAAAGAAGGAACAAAAAACTGAGTAAGATGTAGTAATAAAATACAGTGTGTTCCATTTAAAAAATTCTGAAATATCTATATTTGAAAATTGTATACCTCTCCCTAAATTTTGCAACACAGATTTTAAAAATAATTTGTAAAAAAATTAAAGAAATTGGAATAACGTTGGCAACGCCACATCGGAATTTCAAAATACACTGGATATAAAGCCTATGTAGGGGGTAAGAGAATATGTAAAAAAATGTAGAATATTCTATAAAAAAAGTACAATGCCTCGAAAACACAACACTCTGTATAGACCAAAATAATTTTATTGTATGCTATGCAAAGAGTCGTACATACAACTTTGGTATCTGACTTTTTTTTCAATCTTTAATATTTAATGCGATGTTGAGGACCGCGCACTTAGTGAAAGTATGAAAAATTACGAATTTTCATTTGCCAAAATGAGTCTTATCTTGGCAAATAGTAGCCCAGCCTACCCGCCTTTAATTTTCTTAGAGGGTAGGGTATTTGGCAAGTAGATACTAGCTCCGCCCACCCAGCCTTATTTTCTTAGAGGATATGTCATTTACCAAAATCAGTCTCATCTTGAGAAGTACTAGCCCCGCCCACCCACCCTTTATTTTCTTAGAAGAGTGGGTCATCTGCCAAAATCAGTCTTGTCTTGACAAGTACTAGCTCCGCCCACCCACCCTTATTTTCTTAGAGGATATGTCATTTGCAAAAATCAGACTCATACTTGACAAGATAAGATTGATTTTGGCAGATGACCTATTCTAAGAAAATACGGGGTGGGTGGGCGGGGCTAGTACTTTTTCTGAGAAGAGTAGGTCATTTGCCAAAATGAGTCTTATTTTGGCAAATATTAGCCCCGCCCACCCACTATTTATTTTTTTAGAAGAGTCGGTCATCTGCCAGAGTCAGTCTTATCTTGACAAGTACTAGCCCCGCCCACCCACCCTTATTTTCTTAGAGGATATGTCATTTGCAAAAATCAGGCTCATACTTGACAAGATAAGATTGATTTTGGCAGATGACCTATTCTAAGAAAATAAAGGGTGGGTGGGCGGCGCTAATACTTTTCTTAGAAGAGTAGGTCATTTGCCCGGCCCGCCCGGGCTTTGTTTTCTTAGTGAGTAGATCATTTGCCAAAATCAATCTTATCGTAGCGAGTACTACTAGATTTTTCAGTTTTCGATTTTTCAACTCTCGAAATTTTCAATTTCTCGCTTTTAAAGTTTTCAAATTTTTGATGTCTTTCGATTTTTGATTTTTCTGGGCAACTGAAAAAAAATTTCGATTTTTTAATTTTACAATTTTGGCAGTTTTTCGCTTTCTTCAGTTTTCGATTTTTTTTTCTCTCAATTTTTGATTTTTTTAATTTTTGAATTTCGTGATCGAGTTTTTGGTGGAAGTAAAAAGTAAATTTTGATAAGCGATTACATCTTTAGCGTAACCTTAACACATTAGAAAAAATTAACTTTTTGATTTTTCGATTTTTCAACTTTCGATTTTGATAAATTGATAAATTGCAAAATTGTAAGATCGGAAAATAAGAACGAAAACTTCTTCATTTTTCCTAGTTTTATTTTTTGCTTTAATTTTTCGATTTTTGATTTTTGCGATGACGTCACCGAGTTTTTGGAGGGGCTAAAAAGTAACTTTGATCAGTGTATATTTTTTAGAGTGAAATTTTAGTATAGTCTGCCAAGAGATATAGTAGTTTTTAGATTTTGACTCGTCGTTGGTCTGTCACCGAATGATCCAGGTTAATAGATGTAAATTTATACCACCACCCCAGACTTGTTAGTTGAGAGTTAGGGGTTGGTAAAGTTAAAGCCATAAAACCACAATTTTTATTGGTGCACTATACAATTCTAGCAAAATTACGACGTCACGCTTGATCTATTTCCGCAGCGTCTCTAAAACTTCTCTAAAAAGAGAATTAAAAAAAAAATTGTTTGAGCTTTCTGTTAGATTGTATACCACGATAAGAGGCCACGTTTGAATAATTTCTGTATTATTGGCAATTAATCCTTAATTAATGTTTTTGCCAGTTCCAGCGTGTCGTTAACACAATTAAATCCATACATTGTGTTATTTAGATTTTAAACATGAGATATCGCAAAATTCTTGGATTTTTCACGTTGGCGCCATCTATAGTATGTGACGTACCCCGGACCCACTCTTAATAAATATCACAAAAAGTTTAGTGACTTTTATGCGGCTATGTTGACGTAGCTTAAAGAGGTTATGTATACGTAACCTAAAAATGTCCAAAGCACTTTTAAATATATTTATGAATGAAAATTCATTGTTACATCACTTATTTGCCACCAGAAATGTGAATAAGCTCGTAAGAAATTATGGTTAATCACTCCATGCTCCAGAAAAAAATCATTATTTAAATTAAAAACTTGCAGCGACCAGAAAGCGGTTTTATAAAAACACAGGAATACTCCGAAGTGAGGGCAAATTCGAAGTTACTTTAGATCAAAGAAAATTAAAAACACCCAAAGGTAACTTATTCGTTGTAGAAAATGAGCCTTTAGCATTGGCAGTTGCAACAGAATGGGATGCACAAAAAGGAAATATTATTCAAAGCAGAATGCACTTGGTCTGTTTCACAAAATCATAAACTTGTATAATATATTCCTTTGTAGACAACCTTGTGCAACACCGTAATTGATAACCCAAATAATTTAACAAAGTATGATATGGTAAATTATATAACAAACTACCTAGACACAGATACAGTTTTATTTCAAGACGTTGTAAGTTAAACATGGAGTAATTACATTATTTTAATTAATTTTTCAAAGGAAAGTGATCTCTCCAACCTACAAGAAGCGGAATGGGATCCAGTCATAACATGGTTTAACAAAAGATTTGATGTGGATGTTGTAAAATCTAAACAAATGGATATACCACCTGTTAGTCAAAAAGATAAAACGACGTTAAGCAAACATTTACTATCACACAATTTTGCAACCGTGTGTGGTACGTTTCCGTTTTACTTCAACTAATACATCTTTATACATTCCAAATTTCAGGTTTTGTGTATGGAGTAGATACTTTAAAGTCAGTTATATTAACACTAGCTTGTATTGAACGGTTCTTGACACCTGAGAAAGCGGTGTTGTTGTCTCGATTAGAAGAAGAGTACCAGACTGGTCATTGGGGGCGCGTTGAGTGGGCGCACGACTTAAACCAGCAAGATCTTCAGTCACGACTAGCAGCAGTGGTCTTATTCACCTACTTTAACTCTCAATCAAGTAAAGTGCAGTCTAAAGATACTCAATAAAACATAGTTCAGGTTTTACACTTTGATTTATTTTTATTTTTTACTAAAACTTCATAATACTGCATATATTGATTTTGACTCTTTGTCAACAAAGATAAACCATCAATTTGAATACCCTTCTCTTTTAAATGCTTTAATCTTTTGCTGACTGTTTCCACACTATGCACCAGTATCTTGGGAACTCGGCAGATGTGATCAGACTTGAAACCGGCAGCATACAGAAAATCTATCAACTCTTTAAGTTTTTTTAAACTCCTGTTTTTTAAAGAGGGTTGTTTTAGAATTAAGTAATTTGCAAAGGCCACACTACATTCTAGTCTTTCAGACAGATATTCCACTAAAGAGTTGTCACCTAAGATGGATTTGTTGTCAGAGCGTCTCTGAAGGTGACTGAAAATTAAATATTATTAGAAACGAGTTTTCTAAAGTGTTGATATTTTACATCTGAAAGGCTTTTTCTGGTGCTCTCACCATCCACGTTTTCATAGCATCAATTTTGTGTTGTTTAGCTATGTCTAATCGACTTCTTATTAAGTCTTCACTATATTTTAAAATCCACAAGTCACTGCAGATGTTTTCTGGTGCTACGCCATATTCTGTTAAAATTTCTATATTATTTTTTATTTTACTAGCACGCAATGTACACAAAAATGGTTTATTGGTAATACATTCACAAGCTTTCTGGGGAGTTATCTGTAAATATTATAGTGTGTTTATTAATAAATATGCAATCATTATTATATACCGAGATTTACCTGAAGAAGTGATGATAATATACTAATTTTACCTTCATCTTTAGGTTTTACTGTTTCACTCTGCAAAAACTTCACAAAGTTGTGTTCTGACAATAATATCAAAATCACAACTACATCTATACTATACGGAAGCTTTTGAATCTCTTTAAGTTTCATTTCAGAATCAACTACAGTTAATAATTCTGGGTGTTTTAACAAAGTGTCATGGCTGACACCTTGTTCTGAGTATAAAACATAATTATTTTTCAATATGCTCTTGGATATATGCCGGAAATAAATATTATTCATGGCTATATCAAGTGCATCTATTGTTTTGATACTTAATAACTCTTCCAGTGCTTGGACTGTTGCTTTTCGGGAAACTTTAAACTCGTGATCTCTTTTTTGGTAAACTGGGCCTACAGATTCTACTTTCTTTGGAACCGTGCCTGCACTACTGTATAACCTAAGTGTTGAAGAAGCTTGAGGAGGCAGTCTCGATTTAAATATATGTTGAGAAATATACAGCAAGTTCAGTTTGAATAGGCGATTCAAGTTACGAGTCATTTTTACAAGCCTGGAACAAAATTTATCACTTGGTAAACAACATTTAACACTTGTTTATAGACCACTAGGAACTTTTTGCACTGTTTTCGAATTTGCATCAAAATTTTTAAATATTAGGTTATGTCCGTTTTATCTACTTTGTCAATGTCAAAATCATAATAACTACAACGAATTTTACCTACTCTGTTATTTTCAACGTGTCAAAGAAATTTCACTTTGACGTTTCTTTTTAGGTTATGTTTTGGATAACCAAAATTTTATAATTTAAAATGGATAATTCTAGTTCTGAAAGCGATTTAATCGATCAGATCGAAAACGATGGTACTTGTTTTGCTTAGTTTCACCTATCTGCACTGACTTGCGTGTTTCAGAGTTTTATAAATATTTTCTAAAATCTGGCTCGAAGAGCTCTTCTGTATCGCAAGCGTTGACCATCTCTGAACAAGTGAAAAAGCTCGGTGAAGGCATCGAACTAATAAGTCGTGAATTGCAAAAGCAAGTTTTAGAAAAACACGACGATTTATTAAGACAGGGTAACCATGCCACAAAGCTTGAGAATGTTTTGAGTACGATGAATGGACACGTTCAGAATTTATTTGCTAACGCGGAGAGACTTCGAAATCAAGTTTGTAGCCAGATTTGTATTTTTGTAAATTTCAAAATCGTTTTTTAGATAACAGGACCGTATAACGCTTTAGAAACACATACTAAAGTTTTGGGGCGCTTACATTTAGCTAGCCACATTTTGAGACAGGTTAATAGAATACAGCAACTCAGTAAGAGATTGTCTAATACAACTGATCCAGTCCAAAAAGCAACAATTTTGCATGAATTAGGTTAGTTTCTAAGTTGTGTGAAATATTTCAGTTATTGTGAGATTTTAGAACAGCTAGCGTCTGATTCAGATCTAAAAGACATTGACGCTGTGACGTCAGAACTAAGAAACATACGAGCCCAACAGCAGAAGGTGGTTAAATTAGCAACAGGTTCACTCAGTCAAGGGATTATTAATGAAAATGTTGGCCAAACTACAACAGCTTTACAGGTAATTTATCCATTTTTATAACAAAGTAGGTAGTAATTTTTTTTACTCAGATTTTTATCAACCTGGGAATCATCAATAATACATTACAAACTACAATTGAAAATAGTTTGAGTGAATGTCGCGAGTGTTTAAAAGCCGCTTTTGACTACAACGCTTTATCAACTTCTTCTAAAGTAAGCAAAGGTCCAGGTCGCATAACTCTCACCAGTTCACAGGGCTTCAGAAATAAAATTTGGATTGAAATAGAAAAAGCATTTTCTGAAGAGATTTACCAGAATTGCAAACAAGTAAGTACAAAAGTATTTTAAAATTTATGCTCGTTCATTATTTATTACAGATCAAATTTCTGCAAACCACTGTGAATAATTTAAATGTGCAAAACATTGACGTTGATATCGCCTCAAAATTTTGGCTCAAGTTAGGCCAATTAATCCAACATGAAATAAAAAATTCATCTTCAGCTGTTCAGCAAATGTTGGAAGAGGATTATCCAAAGTTGCTGAAATGTTTCTATGAAATGCATGAGAAATTAAAATACAATGAGTTTGTCTTTGAGTAAGTGCTCAATTTCATTTTGTTTGATTTACAAGTGAACATTTTTAGTCGCCAGGTTCTGGACAAATGCGAAAATTCGTATTTATCTGGTTCACTGAACCGCTTGTTGGATCCGGCTCAATCAATGTTTAATAACGAAATTGAAGTCCCGTCTCATGATCAAATAGACTCTTTAATTAGGATAATTACCAGGTAATTTATGCATTTGTTCGTTAGCTTTGAAATTTAAATGTGTTTCAGCGAGCTGAGCGTTGCGCTAATTGAGGACAATTTGAGCGAAAAGATATGCAAAAACGTGTCAAAATCAATCAGGATGTACGCGTTAAAAACGGAGCAGCAGATAGAAACGGGTCCTGAAGCAGCCCAAGTTATTGGTAATTTATTAACTGAAGTAGTGAATTAATATTGTTGGTTGCATAACCGAATTAAAATTTTTGAGACGATTTTTGACAATTTTTTCAGCTGGAAACGCCAACTCTGGTCAACAGAAAAATGTTCAATATGCAAACGCTTTGTATTATTTCCAAGTACAAATACAGAGGATGTTATTAAATATGAAGGATAGTCTGCCACAGTCTGGTGGAAATATAATTAATGAAAGTTTGCAGGTACTTGTAAACTTGGTTGCTGCTATTCTTCAGCCTATAGTTGGTAAGTATTACGTTGATTCGTGGTATTACAAGCTATATAATTATGAGCTGAATTAAAAAAAATGTCAGTAGTCAAAAATAATCAATAATCACGGTACAACTAAACATTTATTTCTTACTTCTTGAGCAAGTGGAAATCAATATTTTAATGTGATGTGTAAAATGTAACACTAAAACATGAACGTAACATGTTTAAAAGCAACGCAAAAACGCTGTTGTGCTATAAATGAAATTCTTATGTTACATATTTTATAAAACTTTTGGAGAACTGTCATTTTGTATAAAACATCGTTATTTGTTGATTATTTTGCTAAAAATGTTGCATTCTTGTTCTAAGAAAAACTCTAAGTAGAGTTATTCGGTACTGTTTGTTTTCTTTTTATACAATTTTACCCAAAGTTGGTGCTAGAAGTTCTGGGATTGATTCTCGAAGTAAGTTTGGTTGCATACGTCCATAATATGAAATAAAAATCGCTAAATTGAATCTCTTAGGTCATAATGTTTTTCACATAACTTATACCTAAAACAATAAAAAAATAAAAACATTTGAACTCCCCTCCGAATGAAACATGATATGACCGAAGATGCGGGCTCCCGAATTACCAGTGGCGTAGTACTTGCTAAGATAAGACTGATTTTGACAAATGATATACCCTTAAGGGGACTCGCTAGACGAGGTATAATATTTTTTTGGTTTTTTGTATGAAAAAATGATATTAATATAGATGTATCATACATCAAACTGCAGCTTTTTTCATATTCTAGAGCGCAGAGACCAGTTCAATCAACTAAAAAAATATGGCTGAGAAATATCGTAAAAAAAGCACCATTGTATGTTTTCTTTTCAAGTTTTTGAGTCATAACCATCATAGAATCGCTTGAAAATTCGCACATGGATAAAACATCACTTTTTACAGAGCGCAGAGTCATTAAATGTTTGTTAGTGGTACAATTTGTTTAAATAATAATGTGTTTATTAAAATCAAAATATACCACAAATTAATGCAAAATACGTCGAATAATTTTAACAGGAATATCAGAGGAAAATTAATGATCTATTGGTTAGCAGCGTTTTTAACAAAAACTAACAATTATTGAAAAAAATGGGCATCAATTCGACAGAATTTGAGCAGTTAGTTCAGTACTTTGCCGATAGGAGCGCCACTAAAATTTACGGAAGCGACTTTCCAGGTAAAACCCTTATCGCCTGCTTTACCATAAGCGGATTGTTAGAGTTCTCGGCTGATTTTTCTAATTTATGGCAAGGAACTCAGTTTTATAACAAGCCGCCAGGACCGGCCGTAGTAATCTATTGTTAAAGAAATTAACTTTTACGCAGTGAGGTACTATCATAAAACCGAATTAAAACTGGGGAACTATAATATTTTTACTCCATTCAGGATCCTGAATTCAATACACATGATTACTAAAAATTCATTGGAATATTATTGTTAATATATATTTTGCTTTCTTAATTAATAAAACTAATAAACATATTTATAATAATAAAAAAATATATATAAAATACAGCTTTTGTTTAACACGTATAAGTAGCTAAGTGTATCTACTACTTATCCCAGAAAGGAAGTGTTTTAAAAAACCCTACGCCCAGTAACTTCTCCCTTCATTGTTTACTCGAAAAAAGTGCTCGTATATGTTTTCATTTGCCGAGAGATCATTTTCAAAATATATTTATAATAAAAATATGCAAGTCTTGGTGATGAAAAATGTACTCCTAATAAATTATTAAAGTACATAAAAAAATAGAAACAAATTTTATTTATTTAAAAAAAATTTCTCGCAAAGGCAGGTTCCTCTTTCTTCTTGAATCAATTATTTCGGGCAATAAAGCGCTAAAGCAAAATCTGCCAAGTTTATCTGCCATCTTTTTACATATATTTCTTCGTCTTTATAAATTTTTTCTATATTTATTCCTTTGGGTGTCCATGCAGCAAAATAAACTTGTGAAATACCCGTAACAAGCATTTGTCCCTGGACTTGAAAGTAGTAATCATGATTCTTTTTTTAGTTTCAATTCTCTGTCTGTCAATGTACAAAATTTGGTTATTTTTTTTCTAACCGCTTCTTCGGGAGACAAATCTTGCGATTTTGAAGGGCATTTAATTTCGACTAATGCACTCCTATCCTCTAGAACCCTGTCTGGACTAGCAGCCAAGTAAGGAAATTGTTTTGAAATAAACAAGCCACACCGTTCAGTTTTTATATTTTTATTTATTTCAAAACACTTGACAGCTTTTTCCTCACTTTGCTGTCCATAGTATGTATGACTGTTACCTCTAAATGTACTGTACAACAGAGACTCCACAGTTTTAGCTATTGCTGTAGTCGGTCTAAGTTTGTAAATACGTCCAAAATTTGAAACCGTAACCCTAATTTCTCTTTCTTTTGCCCAAATGTGCCTGTTGCCTAGTGTCTATTTCAATTTGGTCTAAATTCAAAGATAATTTTCTTAAAAAAACCTCTTTGGCTGTCACAAATGTTTCTACATCCATGACAAGATTTTCTAAAAAATATTTAAACCATAATCGTCGCAGTCGGGACCAGCATACGTAAATTTTTTTACGACATTTTTTTACGAATACTTTGTCTAAGACGACCTTGTTTTATAGACGAACAATATTTTTTTGTTATTAAACCTAGACCGTTTTAATCACAATATATTTACTTATCCCCTCTAAAAAATTGATGATGTCACCTCAAAATTTTGCTGAATAAATCCTATCTAAATTGTATAAAATATGATGAGTCTCTTCTTGTGATTTATCATTCCATTCATGTTTTTTGGATTTGCATATACAGGATGACCCCAAAAATTAATGAATGCGTAAATTTATTTTATTGATTTAATCAGGAACTACAGAACCCAATGCTTTGAAATCTTGCAAATGTTTTAAGGTTATAAAGAGCATAATAAACTTTTAGTCAAAATATATTTGCCTATCCCCTCCAAAAAATTCATGACGTCAGCTCAAAAGTTTGCCGTATAATCCTATTTAAAGTTTACAAAATATGATGAGTCTCTTCTTGTAATTTATCATTACATTCAAATTTTTTGGATTCGGATATACAGGGTGACTCAAAAAAAATTAATGAATGCGCAAATTTATTTTATTGATTTAGTCAGGAACTACAAAACCGAATGCTTTGAAATCTAATTTGAAAAAAAAACATAATACGCATGCGGTCGTCACGTTTCCGATAGCGAGGGAAGTACTGTCTAAACTCTTTACCAATTTTTTTGATTTTTTCCATTTCTCAATTTTTCAATGTTTCAGTTTGGGATTTTTTCACTGTTTCGATTCTTTAATTTTCCTTCCATTTTGAGGTTTTTCAATATTTCAGCTTTGGAATTTTGCAATATTTCGTTTCTTCAATGTTTTCTCGGTTTTTAAATTTTTCGATATTTTAATTTTTCAGTTTTTAAAGTTTTAGGTTTTTAGATTTCTCATTATCTCGACTTTTCGATTTTTTAGTTCCATGATTTTTCAATTTGTCGAATTTTAGATTTTTTTTTCTCGGTCATTCAATTTTCTGAGTTTTCAGGATTTTTTTTGTTGTTCAATTCTTGGATTTTTAAAATTTTTCTTTTCTAAATTTTCCTATTTATCAACTTACTGGGATTTCAATGTTTTGATTTTTTGATTGTTCAATTTCTCGATTTTTTGAATTTTTAGTTTTTGATACGATTTTTTTTTCAAAAATTTTCAGTTTTTCAATTTATTAACTTTACGATATTTCAGTTTTACGATTTTTAATTTTTTTTATTTTTCAGATTTCAATTTTTGACGTTTCTAAATTTTTCGGTTTTTCAATTTTTCGATTAACTGATTTTTTAATTTTCCCATTTCTCTATTTCTTGATTTTTCAATTCTTTCTTCAATTGTGATTTTTCAATTTTTCGATTTCTGGATTTTTCAATGTTTCAGTTTTGGATCTTTTCACTTTTCCGATTCTTCAATTTTCTTTTCATTTTTCAGTTTTTCAAGATTTCAGTTTTGAATTTTTTCACTTTTTCGATTTTTCAATTTTCCTTCCATTTTTCAGTTTTTCAGTATTTCAGTTCTGAGATTTTGCAATGTTTCGGTTCTTCAATTTTTCCATTTTTTGATGTTTCGATTTCTCGGTTTTTCAATTTTTCGAAAGGTATTTTAATTTTTCAATTTTTAAGTTCTAGATTTTCCGTTAATTTTATTGTTTTCCTTGATGTTTTGATTTCTCGATTATTCGATTTTTCAAGTTCTCGGTTTAGATTTTTTGGTTTTCCAATTCTTCGATTTTTAGATTGTTGAATTTCTCGATTTATAGATTTTTCAATTTTTCGGTTTACCGATTTTGTTCATTTAAAATGTTTCAATTTTTCAATTATTAAGTTGTCGATTTTTCAATTTTGTGTAATTTGAAAACGGTATTAATAATACATTTAGGCGAATAAACTAATAGACGGGCTTGATAAGCCTTGTTTGCTCTACAGTGTCTAAATTGTGTTTGAATAATATAATAATTATCTCGAATATTAAAATTAATATGTCAAAAAAATACGAGAAATGATTATTCTGTGCTGAAGGTATGTTGTGGGCCGCCTGTCATAAATTATCATTATTCTGCATTATCGGCTTACGACGCTTTTATGACCCACGTCCGGTAGTCGTCTATTCCAGCGCGTCAGAGGTAGATTAAAAGAAGAATTGCTGGTTTAAGGCAACAAATGGCGCCCAATTCAAACTTGTCTCTCGTCTAGCGTTCCCCCTTAAGTCTTCTAGGGAAAACACACAAAAACAACATGTTTCGTTTATAATTTTAAAATTATAGCATAGAGTGATATTTTTTATAAATAAAGAAGACAGCTTTTGAAATTCAAAATAAAAGACGAAAAAGCAAAAGAAACTGAAAAAACGTGATGAAGAAACAAAAAAAAAACGAGTAAATAGAACATCACAAGATGAGGATAAATAAAACACTAAATGAGACCTTAAGTGTGCA